CGGTTAAAAAAGAACAGTAAAAAAACATTCCCGAAAAATATTACTCTCATAGCTCAGTAATAGTTTAAAAGTAGATAACATTTTCTTATTTAAAATTCATGTATCTAACTACTAACTTCAAAGTTCAAAGGAATGTGTTGTTTATACAAATTTGTAGTGGTAGTGCCCGCTTTAACATGTTAGCACTGCAGGGCTCGCCCCCAGTAATACCACGACCACACAGAAGACAAGCGTCAAATGGAAGCAATTCCGCGTACAGTCTGATGAGTGTGGTGCTGGAGGCCTAATTTTAGTCATTTTGCCTTTCCACCCTTTTCTTAAGAGGAAAGGATGGGAAGAAAAAGTGGATTTGACGGTGGAGGAGACGCATAGGAAGGGGAAATGTCCTCTTTATGTGCGTCTCCGTCAATGAAGGGTAGGCAGCGCTGCAATTGCGGATGTTTGTGCAGCGGTCACTTTACATTTCGGTGAATTCAGTCCGCTTGCTCGTTTGCCACCTTAAATTATAAAGAAAAAATTAAATAGGTAATTAAATTAAGCTATATATTTTCAGATTTAATTCCGAGTACTATAGAAAATGTAAAAGAGTCTGCTGACTTAGATGTACGTAAATATAGAAAATTAGAACATAAAACTAAAAAACCATTTGATATTAACAATAACAGCAATAACGCACCAAAGACGTCAAATAACTTCACATGCGATCAATGTGGTAAATGTTTTTCCACGAAAAATTTACTGAAGAAACATATAATAGAAGAAAATAAAATTGACCAGACAAAGAATGTAAATATTCAAGAAACTACTTTCCTTAACGATTTTTTTTATTGTGATATGTGTGAATTCAAAACTAAAGTGAAGCGTTGTATGGAGACGCATTTAAAAGTACATGCAGCTAAGAGAGTATACACATGTCATGTCTGTGGATACAAATGTATAATAAAAGTCCGATTTAAAAATCATTTAAGAACACACACAGGCGAGAAACCATTCTCATGTAATTTTTGTAAATATACATCTACAATTAAAGGCAATATAAAAAGACATCTAAGAATACACACAGGTGAGAAACCATTCTCATGTAATTTATGTAAATATACATCTACACAAAAAAGCAGTTTAATTATACATTTAAGAACACACACAGGTGAGAAACCATTCTCATGTAATTTTTGTAAATATACATGTGCACGAAAAAGCAGTTTAATTATACATTTAGGAACACACACAGAGGAGAAACCATTTTCATGTAATTTATGTAAATATACATCTACAATTAAAGGCAATATAAAAAGACATCTAAGAACACACACAGGTGAGAAACCTTTCTCGTGCAATTTATGTAAATATACATGTACACAAAAAGGCAATTTAAATATACATTTAAGAACACACACAGGTGAGAAACCTTTCTCGTGCAATTTATGTAAATATACATGTGCACGAAAAAACACTTTAAAAAGTCATTTAAGAACACACACAGGTGAAAAACCATTCTCATGTAATTTATGTAAATATACATGTACACAAAGAAGCAGTTTAAAAAGTCATTTAAGAACACACACAGGTGAAAAACCATTCTCGTGCAATTTATGTAAATATACATGTGCACGAAAAAACACTTTAAAAAGTCATTTAAGAACACACACACACGCGAAAAACCATTCTCGTGCAATTTATGTAAATATACATGTACACAAAAAAGCAGTTTAAAAAGACATTTAAGAACACACACAGGTGAAAAACCATTCTCATGTAATTTAGGTGAATATACATGCGCGCACAAAGTCAGTTTAAAAAAACATTTAAAAACACACAGTTGAGTAGTTATTCTCATGTTTTGTAAATAATAGGTCCTTACCTATAATTTACAAATTGCCGTTCTGCAGTACCGACTGCATCTTTTTGGCGGGAAAAAAATTTAATACCCGAGAGGCTAATAAACAAAAAGCTTATGAAACACGAGCTGTTGCCCACGACTTCGTCCGCGTGGTATTAGAGAACATACGAACGATATAAATTACAAAAAGCTACGTATCCCGGGAACCGGACATTTCTCAGACATGAAGGTTATCCCATGTGTACTCCACACTTTGTTTTATATCTGTGCCAAATTTCAATAAGATATGTTGCAGAATAATCGAGTGAACATTAAAAAACTAAATTAACGAATCCCACGGGAACCGTAACTATTCCCGGGATAAAAAGTAGCCTATATGTTCTTCCAGACTATGCTCTAAACCTGTGTCAAATTTCATGAAGATCCGTTCAGCCGTTTAGGCTACAAACGCTAACAAACATCCATCCATCCATCCATCTAAACTTTCGCATTTATAACATTAGTAAGATTTGTTGCCTACCGTCCAGCTGATTTCTTTAGCGGCATCAATAAACTGTCAAGTTGCCAAAAAAGCATTTATTGCAAGGGTTATTACTGCAAATAATACAAATAAAAATAATAATTTTAATTAAAAAAAACAAAATCGAATTAAAAAAATACACTAAAAAACAAAATATTCCCAAAAAACAATACAATAAAAAGTAACGAAATAATTCCTTTAATATGTAAACCTCACTTATTGGTCTTCGACTCCAAAAAATAAACAAAAAATATGACCCACCTGCAAGCACTAAATTTGGGATGAAAAAGGAATTTTCAAAATCGGTCTACCAGGGGCGGAGTTATAGCGTAACACACATAAAAAACATACAGACGAATTGAGTACCTCCTTTTGGGAAATCGGTAAAAAAAAACTCATAAATCGTTATATTTTATCATACTTCATACTAATGTTATAAATACGAATGTTTACTTGGATGGATGTATGTTTTTTAGCGTTTGTAGCCTAAACGGCAGAACGGATTTTGATGAAATTCGATATAGATATAGAGGATAGGTTGGAAGAAAACAGGATACTCGCTTTTGTTTTTTTATGACACGCGGTCGGAGTCGCAGGCGAAAACTAGTTTTGAATAATTCAGTACCGATTTTTGATTCTTGACTTGTTCAAAGTTCGACTGTCAAAGTTTTGTTTTTGAATCAATTTCAAGAGGCAAACTTACAAAAGGCCAATCGTGTAAACTGCTGTAGCTGTGTAATCAGTGGCCCAGAAATGAACCGCCATTCTTTTATTTTGTTGTTTTTGATCTATCGATTAGTAATCTTTATGGTCCTAATTTTAATTTTTACTAATATTATAATTGTGAAAGTTTAGATGGATGTCTGAGAGTTGTAGCCTAAACTGCTGAATGGAACTCGATGAAATTTGGCATAATATATGTAGAAGTCTTATTTTTTCAATTCCATGCGGACGAAGTCTAAATATTTTGTAATGAATGTTATGACGACTAGGCTGTCGCCATATTAGTTAGGCATAATGTGAAAAAAAAGTCAGTCCATGCTATTCCTTCGCTAATTACCAATTGTATTGTTTAACTTATTTTTAATGTGACTTAATAAACGAATCAAAAAAAAGTGTTTTCATTTTGATCCATTAGATGTAATTTAGAATCAATCGATTTTAATCTCTACTAGACAAAATCGATAATCGAAAACATCCCTACTAAATTGTCAAACTACAGTTTGAATATGAAGTATGAAATAAAATTTGTATGAAGATAACTGCCGTACTTAATAGATGGGTATCATAGTGACGAAACAAACACGCATAGCTACTATGAAATATCGATACTCGGTTAAAATAAAATTTATCGAAACAAATTAAAACTGTCATTTACTTATTAACTAAATAAAGAGAGTATTCTAGTAATTAATATAGTATAGAGAAAATAGCGATGACAACAATAATAGTAAAATCCAGTTTGATTATGTACGACTATAATAGTAACATTAATTACATTCTTTGTATTGGTTCTGTAGGTCATTATTGTTTTGATAAAACAGTGTTTTTTTTTTAATTTAAGCCATAAGTTATTGCTATGAATCTATCTATCCCAACTTCTATGAGTAAAAATCGATAATCGAAAAGTTAATTTGTTCGATGTTACTAGTGATTTTTGTAACTAATTATTGCCATTGCAAAAATAATAGACAATCAAAATAAATCCTCTGCTATAGATGTGAAAAGATTATAATTTGTCATTTGTCTTGCCTTTTAAATATTTAAGCTTTCTGTCTGATGCTTTTTTTTCTTTTTCTGCCTGTAAAATTGTAGTCTTTTGTGGACTAAAAGTCTAATCCTAACAATTGTGGACTGTATAAATTAATTGAACTATACTACATAATACTCTAACTTTCTGTTACATGTCTGACAAATTAAGGATCACTAAGATATTCTTGTTTTAAAAAAATACTTGACACACAAAATATAAGCCAAGCATTTAAAAATAAATTTCAAACGTATTTAAGGTGGTTCGCTATTTTATTAAAAGACATACTTTTTATGTATTTCAGTTACCGCTTATCTTAGCACTTGGTTGTCCGATTTTTTAGCTCAGTCCATTGTCTCTGTACCATTTATCTACTAATGTGGTCTCACATACATAAATACTATCTTTTTCATTTGCAGTCTCTAGTAATGCATTTTAAAAAAATGTTACAATGTCCTCTGTCTGATTTGTATGTTTTTTAGTTTTATTTAATAGATACTCTGTGTATTTATTATTTTTATTTACAAAACCGTCGTAAGACCTGTCATGATGTATGGATCTGAATGTTGGGCAGTAAAAGGGATGGATGAAAGGAGAATACATTTGACGGAAATGCGAATGTTAAGATGGATGTGTGGGGTAACACGAATTTATAAGATACGAAATGAGTATATTAAAGGAAGTTTGAGTAGCCCCAGTGGTAGAGAAAATAAGAAGTAAAAGGTTAGAGTGGTAGGGGCATGTTATGAGAAGGGATGAATCGCATGTAACAAGACGGGCGTTAGTTATGAATGTGGAGGTACATCGGTAGAGGTAGACATAGAAAGAGATGTATTGCGGGAAAGGTGACATGATCAAGAAGGGAGTGATGACTGAGATGGAAGATGATAGAGTGCTTTGGAGGACGAAAACCCGGTGACGACACTACTGGAGTAGAATAAGGCAGTGGAGATGATGATGAAATACTCTGTGTGCATGAAAATATTTGTACTCTTTGACGATACATTTGGAAATGTCAATGTCAACTGTCATTGTCAAATGAAATGAAATGTTTACTAATAACATAACCTATAACGCATAGTATATTTTCACGTGTGTTTTTCATTTGATTAATCATAACTGAATACAATGCCTAAGTTACAAATTGACGAAGTTTTCACTAAAAACAGCATACATCCAATGCTCATAAACTTTCAAAATGGATACACGACTGGAAGTTTCAAGCCTTCAGAATGTTTGATATTACAAGATGAGAATTTAAAAACGAGCATCACTACACAAATAAATGATTTCGTCTACACTGGAGAAGAGGAAAGAGAAGATTTAAGTAAAACTATAATAATTGCTAAGAATAGAAACACTGGAAAAGTTAGGTTAATAGAAATAGGTACGGCGGAGTTAAAACCCGTGCTCAAAGTCGACTTAGACTCCACTCAGTTATTGGAGACGAGTAATTTAGAACTGAGTAGGAAATTCGGTTCTAAAAAACAGAAGCAACAAGTCGAACAACGCGAGAAACTAAAGGTTAATGTACAAATTGTTAACGAACAAATGCAAAACGTCACTCAAGATGTATCTATTGACAACTTAGACCTTTCGTCATACGAAAATCCAGATTCGGATGATTTCTACATACCACCAATTAACCGAGACGCACAAAAACCGGAACAAATCTATGAATTAGATAAAATTTTAAGCGATGATGATTTTGAAAAGATATACTCAGAACTGGATGGTACAGAATACATTTCTGATCTACCTCCATGGGTAGCAAATTTAATGGCATCTAAGAAGAATCCAAAACACATTGTATTAGGAGTGTACGCTGGAATTCTGCTTAAGTTATACTCAATGTTAGTTAAAGATATACCCAAAAAGACGTTTACAGTATGTAAACATTCACCAACCTTGAATAATATGGTTTTATCTAATTTTTTGCTAAACAATAATGGTAAAAGAAGTAGACCAGCTCCATACAAAGATAAATCATTATGTCATGCTTTAATATTCCTACTTCTTATTAATAATCTGTCATTAGATTTGGATGTTTTATCCCAAGGTATAAAATTGCAACCTAAAACTGTTACAACAAAAATCCGAGTTACTGGTGCATCAATTATCGCTTCTGGCAGTAAAAAACTTATACAATTAAAACTGCCGTTGAAAACGAAAACAGTTTTTAGACGAAAGAGTACAAAATTTTAATTTTTTCACATACTCCCTAAGAAGGTTATCAAAGTCTATTTACGAACATCTCCATAAACAGAGTTTTGTTGCCAGTTTCTCCCAAATTAGAATAAAACAAGCACTTGACACTGGCCCAATCTGCTGAGGAAGCGCCATAAACAAGAAAAAGAATAGAATAAGTCTGTATTTTATATGTAAAGAAAAATCTCCTGCAGGTTGGATGTATATTTTTAATGTTTCCTGTACATTGTAAAACTGCTGAATACTGAAAACTTAAACACATTGTAAGTTCTTACAATCTAAACCGATCTATATTATACTAATATTATAAACAGGGAAGATTTTTATTGTTATATGCATTGAAATAACTCAAAAACTACTGGGCCTATTTTATGAATTGCACCATTAAAAAGCTGTTATCAGTAACTACATAGGCAATATTTTTACTATATTCTTAATTCCACGCGGACGAAGTCACGAGCATCAGCTAATACAACATAACAAAGGAGAATTCCAATATATGTTTTGTTTTGTACTAGTAACAAACTAGCTTGATATAAAAATAAGCCAAATATTATGTATCAAAATTATAAGTAATTCGTTGCTCACGGTTTTGCTCGCAGGAAATTAAGAAAATAGTAATAACATAGCCTATGTTACTCAGTGATAACATACTTTTTAATGGTGCAGGAATTTTTGAAATCGGTCCAGTAGTTTTTGAGTTGTTTCCATACAAAAATCCAAAAATACAAATTTCATTTTCATAACATTAGTTGATTGATATATTATTTATTGTGTTTCTATTTTTCAATTGTGGATTCTAAGTTTTTTCTGATTGAAATATCTACACATTGTATTGAATCTTCATCTCCCCCCTTATTCTACTCCCATAGCTACAGGGTTTTGTCCTCCAAACTCTATCATACGTCATCTCAGTCATCACTCCCTTGATCATGTTACCTTTCACACAGTTCATCTCTTTCTATGTCTACCTCTACCCATGTACACTCATAACTAACATCCTTGTTACATGCGATTCTTCTCTCCTCATGTATTGTTTAAAAAACCTAGCCTTTCAAGATTTTTATTTGGTGTTACATTTTGGACTCAATTTGTAAATCTGTTTTAAATATAGCATAGCTACAATTTTAACATTGTATTATAATTTAGTAAAACTTTTTTTTGAAACTAAAAATCTTTTATTTAAAACTTAAATCGAACTCATCCACTTGCCCTTATCCCTCATGGAGGGTCGGCACAGTATGTGCTGCTCTTCCATACATCTCTATCAGCCGTCATATCTGAATCCACTCCTTTTAAGCATATCATCTTTCACACAATCCATCCATACTTTCTTCGGTCTTCCTCTTCCTTTGTAGCCATCCACATTCAATCTCAACACTTTCTATATCCCCATCATTTCGTCGCATAACATGTCCATACCACGCTAAACCTAAAACAAAACTTAATTAACGCTAAAACTTAATTCGAACTATCTGTAGTAATAAGCTGTTACTCATGACTTTGCCCGCGTGAAATTAAAAATTAAATGGTAAAAGAATTTTTTAAATCGGCCCAATAGTTTTTGAGTTATTGCAATATTTACAAAAATACAATTTTTTCTTTTTAATACTAGTATAAAAGTTTAGATATAAATAGGAAAGATTTCATATATGTTGAAATAACTCAAAATCTTCTGGGTCTATTTGAAAAATTCTTTCAGTAATCAAACTACAATATCACCTAACAAAGACTATTTTTTTTTACAAATTTCTGTCGCGGATGAAGCTGCGTGCAACAGCTAGTATGTATCTATACATGTTAGAATTTTTAGTATAAACTGCTGGATGGATCTCATTATTTGACATAGATTTAGAGGATATTCTGGAAGAACACAGGCTACTTTGGTGTTTTTTTAATTCCAAATGCAGTCTTGGTTGAAAGCTTGTAAAATAAAACACTATATATTTATTATGATTTATTTATATAAGTGATTAAATATTACAGATAATTAGATATCATGCCTTATTGTAGTTATTAACGCAATTTCAGTCTTTACCTCAGTCAGTTGTGCTTTCCGGTTCCATATGTGACAAATTCAAATCATCGTCACCTTCACTTAACTCCGCTGTACAAAATTCACTTAAAATCATCTTACTTCTATACGTATTATTTAATTTATGTTTTAAAACTGAATATTCTAGCATATTATATGATTTTAAACACTTATCACACTTATATACAATAGATTCTAGAGATTCCTTTACTTTATTGTAACTAATGTTTTTTAACTCATCTGTGAACGTTTTTATACACTCATCACAATTAACGCTTGTTATTTTAACAAGCCATGAATAGTTCGCCAAATCGTCTACATTAAATTCGTCATGAAACTTCTTTATGTGACGTTTTAATGTTTTTCTCGAACTGAAATCTTTGATACAAATAACACAGCGAGGTACAGATTTACGTTTTCCATTCCATAATAGATTGGAATGATGTATCTCTTTGTGTTGATCAAATTTATTCTGACCTTTGAATAATAAATTACATTCATCGCATTTGTAAATTTCATCTTCCGCTAAATGGTTTGTTTGTAAATGTTCTTTTAACGCATCTAAAGAATTGAAAGATATCGGACAAAAACCACACGGATGTGTTGATATATTTAAAGAATGGATTAATTTCAAATGTACTTTACAAGATTTTGCCGATTCAAATCTACGATAACAAATATGACATTGTGGGAATAAATTTGAATGTGGATGTTTGATTCTTACATGTTTTCTTAGACTTCTTTTCTCTTTAAATAAAGTGTCACATTCAATACATTTGTGTCGTTGCATACCAAGATGTGTGTATTCTATATGTCGACGTATATTCCTCTTGGATTTGAACCATTTATCACAATAACTACACTTCGAACATATATTACCATGCACCTCTTTAATATGTGTGGATAGGTAATATTTGTTATTACAAACTTTGCCACAGTAATGACAATTGAAACTTTGTTCTTTATGTTTTAATTTCATGTGATGTTTTAGAGATTTCTGATTGTAATAAACTCGATCACAATGTTGACATTTGTAACTCTGTTCTGTCTCTTCATTACTCGATGATTGTGCTTGTGGATGGAATATTTTCACATGGAACTCTAAACTAGAGATATCTGTGAAAAGTCTATCGCAGTATTCACAGGAATTAACATCCGGAGGTGGTAAACAGAACTTTCTATGTTCTATTAATGTTTCGTTTGTTGTGAACTTCGTGAAGCAGACATTACAATTGGATAAATTATAATATTTTTCATGTATAAACAGTAAATGGTCTTTCAATTCATGTAAATTATTGAGTTTAGTACTGCAGAATTCACATATATATTCTTTTGTTTGAATTTGGGTTGTTTCTAATAGGGATTGTTTACAATAATTGTAAAAATCTTGAAAAGTATGTTCCGATTTTACATGACATCGTAATAATGGTTCTTGATTGAATGATTTATCACAATTATTGCAGTTATAAACCAATGATGTTACATCAATTTCATTGCTATCGGGAACTTCTTGAGTGCATGAACTTATATGTTCGTCAATGTTTTCCTTCCCGTGGATTTCTTTACAGCAAATTTGACAATAATATTGCATTGATTCAGGATGATGCATAGTTTTGTTGTGACGTCTCAAACTCTGATTAGATGTGTACACTTTGGGACATTGTATGCATTTGAATTCCCCTTTTTCGCCGTGAAACATTTCGATATGCCTTTTAAGGTTTCTGTTGTTAGTATAAACTTTGTTACAGAGTTGACATTTCAAAGAATCTTTATTTATATGCTGGTGTGTCGAATCAATATGTGTTATCAGTGCAGATTTACTTTTAAATACTTTCTTACACATATCACAAATTGGATATTCAAAATCGGGGTTGTGTAATTGATTTTTGTGTCTTTTCAAATTCCTCTCTGTTGTGAATGTTTTCTCACATAAGTGACATCTGATACCTGGTCGTCCACTGTGTAAATGTACTGTAATCATGTGGGATGTTATATTCTGCTTTCTTGTGAAGACGCGACCACATATATCGCATTCGGGGAATGCTTGACCAAATCTATTGTGACCTCGTGAGAAGTGTAATTGAAGGCCGGCGGGGCTCCCGAATCTTTGGTCGCAGATTTCGCAATAACATGACGAATTCATATGATAGTTCTCGATATGTGTTTGCAAGTTGTACTTACGAGTAAAAGTTCGACTGCAGTAATCGCATACATATTGTGAAGGGTTCTGTGACATCTTTCTTACCTGGAAATAAAAGTATATTTTAATAGGAAACATTACAAAATACATGGGTATTGATTTATAACGTTCCACATTTGTAGGTTGGGGAACGAGCAAGCGGCCACCTGAATACAACGAAATAGAAACCGACCGTTGCCCATAAACATCCGCAATGGCAGATGCGTTGCCTACCCTTAATTGACGGAGAAGACGCACATAGAGCACGTTTCCCTTTCCTATGCGTCTCCTCCACCGTCAAATCCACTTTTATTTCTCATCCTTTCCTCTTAAGAAAAGGGTGGAAAGGGACTAAAATTAGGCCTCTGGCACCATACTCATCGAAAGACGAAACGAGAAATATCCACTTCACGGCTGTTTTCTGTGTGGTCGTGGTATTGAACCGGGCGAGCCAGACCATTCGTGCAAATGTGTTAAAGTGGGCTTTACCACTGTAAAGATCAATATTCTAATAAGAAACTGAATGCAAAATGATGCATCAGTTGCCTAGAAAGCGGATATTTACCTTTTATTGCCTTAAATATTTTTTTATTACATATTGTCATGGATGCAATGAAATATCCTTAATATTTCTCCATTATAATAATTGCGGAGAACTTAACTTATAATATATTTGATATTAAAATAAAATACATCTCTCAACAACAACGTCAGATCTGAATGTCTTTTCTCTGAGAGAAAAAAATCGATTGGAGTTTATGTGGACAAAGATTAGAAAATATCTACTTTTATTGCCATTCATAAGGAAATAAAAAATGAACCTTACTATACTTTAAAAGACCTGTATAATAAGTGGAATGGATAGACTGATGATGAATTGGTATTTATTTAAACATTTAGCATTTTTTTCCGATTGTTATTAATAAACGTCATGAGTTCTTTATCGACATTTACTGTCACTTTACTTACTCTTTGGCAATAGCGTCTTGGAGCCGGTTAAAATAAAAACAAAATCCATATATTTCATTTATTTAACTTAAGTTTTAGTTTTCTCTTTATTAATACAGTTTATTAGTTTCAATAATGGCAATAAGCATTTAAATAAATAGCTTATAAAATGTTGACTACCGACATCTGTAGAATATGTTTAAATAAAAATGTTCCCATGTTTATACTGAATAATACTTTACAAAACTTATTCGAAACACTAATAAATGGATATGTAAGTACAATTATAAAGCATAATTTCAAAAAGGTCCATCTGCCAATTTTTCGTAGCATCTCTTTCATAAAAAAATTTTTTCAGATACGTTCCGATGTTAAGCCGGTATTGGCTTGTTTTATTTGTTTTGCGAAATTGAAGAGATGTAGAAGATTACAACTGCAAGCAATAAAGTCCAACGAACTTTTAAACAAGATATCTGTTGATGGAAATGAGGTAACTGATAGGATAATACTATCAAATTTTTTAAGAATTATCATACTTCATACTAATATTATCAATGCGTTTTTTTTTATAATATAAGTATGTATGTGTATCCACCACTGTATCCACCGAAGTGGAAAGCGACTGCTGCCCATTAACATCCACAATTGCAGATGCGTTGCCTACTCTTTATTGACGGAGGAGGAGACGCACATAAGAGAACATTTCCCCTTCATATGCATCTCCTCTACCGTGAAATCCACTTTTCCTTTCCATCCTTTCCTCTTAAGAAAAGAGTGGAAGGAAAAGGGACTAAAATTAGGCCTCCGGCACCACATTCATCAGACGAAACACGGAATTGCTTTCATTTCACGCTTGTCTTCTGTGTGGTTGTGGTATTACTGGGGGCGTGCCGGCCCTGCAGTGCTAAGATGTTAAAGCGGGCTCTACCACTGAAAAAAGTTTAGATGGATGGATCTTTGTTGGAGTTTGTAGCCTAAACTGCTGAACATTTCAATGAAATTTGGCATAGTTGTAGAGGATAATCTGGAAGAATACTTTTGTTTTCTTTTTAAATTCCACGCAAGTGGAGTTGCGGGCTAAAGCCAGTTTTATATTAGTAAGATAATGTCTCACAAAACTAAACAATTAAATTGATATTTTCCAGCTTCCCGAGTTAATTGATACTCAGAGAGTTAATCAAGATTATCTTCAATTCACACCTATTTATCATATACATTTAGAAGAAATAAATATAGAGGATAAACCAAAGATTGATGTTATACCAACATTGGTTAAAAATGAAATAGAGAATGTATTAGAAGATCGAATAGATCAGGGTAAGTGGTGGAGATTGTTTTAACATGTTCACACTTTAGGGCCCTCTCTCTAATATCACCAACATAGAGAAGAGCATTGGTGTCCCCAGGGTTTAGTTTATTTAATTCTTTTTGCACTACAATTAAAATACTGTTATATATTTCGATACAAATGACTTTTTAAAAAATATGATAGTCAAATGGTAATATGAGCAATATATGTGAATTATTATAAAACGAATACACTAAGGCAACTACGTAAAAGATATCGAACGTTCCGTGATGACGACGAGAAATGTACTGAGCGACTGAAGGAATTGAGGTACTGACGGCCAGAGAGCTTGTTAGCAACCGAGCAACTGAATGCAACTAAGAAACTAAGCGACTAGGGACTCACTTCTTGCAAAGACTTTTATGAAACTACCCCCCACTACCACTTCCGTTTCTATTATTTTGTACAAAATTTTGCAAGGGTGGTCTTATTGCTATAAGCAATATCTTACAGGCAATCCAGTTGGATAGGAAAAGCTAGATAAAACACAAGGGTATTTAATATATAATAACACAAACTTAACTTTTAACAGTGGTAGTGCTGCTTTAACATATCAGCACTGCAGGGCCGGCACGCCCCCAGTAATACCACGACCATGCAGAAGACAAGCGTGAAATGGAAGCAATTCCGTGCTTCGTCTGATGAATGTGGTGCCAGAAGCCTAATTTAAGTCCCTTTCTCTTTACCACCCTTTTCTTATAAGGAGAGGTTGGGAAGGGGAAGTGGATTTGACGGTGGATGAGATGCATAGGAAGGGGAAATGTCCTCTTTATGTGCGTCTCCTCCTCCGTCATATAATGGCAATCAACGCATCTGCAATTGCGGTTGTCTATGGGCAGCGGTCGCTTCGCCATTTTGGCGGTTTCAGGTGGCCGCTTGCTCGTTTGCCACCTTATGTTATATAAAAAAAATTTACTTGACTTGTAATCCTACAGCTCTTGGGATCGAATCCAATGTACCTGTGATTTTTGAATTTCATATGTACATAATTTGTCTTGTTCCGTTTACCTAACCAGTTGGTTACAAGAATTGGTTTTCCGTTCTCATAACTGGTCAACTTTGTTTGCTAGGGTGGGTACACTTTGCTAGTTTCAAGATCTCAATCCCATGCTAAAACGATCAACTATCGATTGCAAGACCCAATAGAGAGCGCAATTTAATATCGATCTAATTTTAACGTTTCGTCGCGATTTTTACGTTTTAAGTCCCAGAATTCATTTTGCCAATACCACATTTTTTATTATTTTATTTTTCAAACCATAAGGCAACAAACGACCAGTGTTGCCTCCGGCTCGCTAAATTGCAAGTGTCCTGATACCAAACTACAGCACAACCACTATTTGGAATTTGAAGAAAAAGTAATACTTTACTTAATAATAATAATAGTAATGTATGGCCCGGAAAATAGAAAAGTATTACTACCGATTACAAAAACGAAAAATAAAATCCTTATACATAACTGGTTAGGTATCTTTAGTTAGGTAAACGGAACAAGCCCATAATTTCATCATCATCATCATCACCAGCTCACTATACGTCCCCACCGAGGGGCTCGGAGCCTACCCCAATAAGGGGTGACTAGGCCATAGTCAACCACGCTGGCCCACTGCGGGTTGGTTGACTTCACACATATCTTTGAATTTCTTCGCGGATATATGCAGGTTGCATCACGATGTTTTCCTTCACCGTAAGAACGTCGGGTAAATTATGTACATATGAATATTCGAAAAATCGAAAATCACATTGGTACGGCGGGATTCGAACCCAAGACCTGTAGATTACAAGTCAAGTGTTCAAACCACTGAGCCACCGACGCTCTTAATTTACCTTTACCCATAATTTACCTGACTTGTAAGTGAAGGAAAACATCATTATGTATATTGGTGAAGAAATTCAAAGATATGAAGTGCAGTGACTCCTAGTCTGACTTAGGGTAGGCTCCTAGCCTTTTTGGGGATGTGGTGATGATTTTTTTATTTTATTCTTTTATAGACTCGGCTACGGAATTAAATTTTGATACATTCCAAAATACAGTAAGTGACTCCGAAGATGATATTCCTCTCATTGCTATTGGTAATAAAAAGATAAAAGAGACGCCAAAAATAAATAAAAAACGACAAAAGAGAGATAACAAAGGTAAATGATTAACATGAATTTTAAATTCTAAGGGCCTGTCCCACCTAATTAAATTGTCTGATAATCCAACGTGTAAATATGTGATGGAAATATCGGATTTTATTACCTTATCTGTCATGTCATTTTTAAGCTATCGGAGCCTCCAACCAATGGTGGGACAGGCCCTAAGTATAACAAATATTGCATTTAGTTTTTTAATAAGCTTTTGCATGTGACTTTGTTAATGCAGTTAAGAAACATAGATCATGTGTTCTTCCAGATTGTGTGTTTTTTCTGATAAATCATTTTAGATATATCTACACTTTCTATACTATTATAATATTGCGTAAACACACATTTCTTTGTTGCCTAAGATGACAGCAATTACAGCATGTTTTTGATAAATTCTTTTTTTAATAAAAAGCCCTACACTTACGACACACTTTAGGCTATGTGTTTTTACGCTATTTAACTTAGGGGGTAAATATTTTGAATAAAAACTCTAATGTGGGAAAGAGACCATAAGTTGCTGCCAACATCAAGGTCATAACTCCGGCGCTAGTAGACCAATTTTGATAATTCTTTTTTTAAAGGAAGTATTTGTTTTTCTTTTATCCCGGACGAAGTCGCGGGATGTAGTATTATAAAAGTTGTAACAAAAGTATATTTTTTTTAGATTTTAAAGTGGACGCAAAGGAAATAGATTTGACAGAAGAGGAGCAAAGACAGGAATTATTACAAAGAGCGAGTTCAGATAATTATTTAAATTCTCCATACAAATGTGAGAAATGCTACAAAGGTTTTGTGGACCCTCAAGCATTTAGTAATCATAAAGAGAAACATGATAAGGTAAGAAATATCAGATTTTTTTCAATTTTTTTTAATTACAAGCTGTTCCCGTGCGACTTCATCTGCATGAAATTATGAAGATCTTATTTTATTTTAGTTTATTTTATTTGTCAAATTATCAATTACAAATGTCATAATGACATGACATGACGACAACGTTGCTTCCTTGATGTTGGCAGCAACTTATGGTCTATTTCCTTCTTTAGGGTTTTTATCCAAAATATTTACTCAATATGTTTAATGGCGTTAAAATATATAGCTTAAAGCGTGACGTAGTGTAGGGCTTTTTATTAAAGAAAGAATCTATACTATTATAATAAAGCGTAAACACACACTTCTTTGTTGCCTGAGATGTCAGCAATTACAGCATATTTTTGAATTATTCTTTCTTTAATAGATAAAAAGTAGCCTATGTGTTCTGCCAGGCTATAAACCTGTGCCAAATTTCATGGAGATCCGTTCAGCCGTTTAGGCTACAAACGCTAACAAACATCCATCCATCCTAACTTTCGCATTTATAATATTTATATGATATATGATATATTTTTAGCGCAGCGGTCCTTACGAATGTACAATATGTCAACTTAGATATACAAGTGCAAGGCAGCTCCGAGCTCATTCGGTGTCAGCGCACTCGCGGCGATACTCGTGCAGTAAATGCCCGCATCGATCACATACTAGGTATGCCCGACTGGTAGGGTAATGTTAAATTAAAAAAAAAAAAAAAAACAAAAAAAAAACGAAAAAAATGAAAAAAAAAATCTTTTTTGACTAGTTTTTGCCCGTGACTCCATCTGTTTGGGTTTGAAATTAGTGTCTTATGTTCTGACTATGTTTATGATAATAAAGAAATCTGTTTATGCGATAAATTATAATAAAAATCTTATATTTTTCATTTTACTAGTTATATAAATGTTTAGATGTATGTATGTTAGTTTGTATCCTAAAATAAACAGATATCGATGATTGTCATACATGTAGAGGATAAAAATAAAATAAATAAGCAATAAAAAGCTTTTATTGTTTCCTTTCAACATACATTTTTTTTCTTACATTTTAATTTTAACGTTTTAACACTTTTTTTTTCTATTATATTTCTATTGCTAATATATATTTATTTATTTATATCTTTGTTTTTGTTTTTTCAGTTCAGTTTTCAGTTAAAACATGTAGAGGATAGGATACTTTTATTTTTTAATACGCGAGCGGAGTCACAGGCGATAGCTAGTTTATTAGTAAGATATTTCTGATTGCTATAAATTTGTTATTTTTCAGACATCAAGCCAAAGATCATGAAAAATGGCATAACGGGTTTACATACCCTTGTCGTGTATGCGGACAGAAATTCCAGTGAGTTATATTATAATTTAGAACCGTAATAGAGCAGGGGTGTCGTAAAACGAAACAGCTAAAGAAAACAACCAAGGTGGCAAAAAAACAGTCGTTTATTGGTTACGAGCTGTTGCCCGCGACTTCCGCAGGGTATTAGAAAACATACGAACTATATAAATAACAAAAAGTTACGTATCTCGGGAACCGGACATTTCTCGGGGATGAAGCTTATCCCATGTGTACTCCACACTTTGTTTTATATCTGTGACAAATTTCAATAAGATATGTTGAACCGTTGCAGAATGATCGAGTAAACATTAAAAAACTAAATTAATGAATCCCACGGGAACCGTAACTATTCCCGGGATAAAAAGTAGCCTATGTGTTCTTCCAGACTATGCTCTAAACCTGTGCCAAGTTTCATGGGGATCCGTTCAGCTGTTTAAGCTACAAACGCTAACAAACACCCATCCATCAAAACTTTCGCATTTATAATATTAGTAATATTAGTAAGATTTCGGCTTGATCCTCTGGCCTTGCGGAGGGACGTCAGTTTCCTCTGTATTTTTACCGTATTTACCACGGGGAGTGTTCCGAGGAGTTGTTTGGAACGATTCCTGCCACGACAGACCGCCAGGTACCATCACCATGATGGCTGGTATTCCACAACCGTGTGGTTTTGTTGAACTTTCTGTCCCGCACAATCGCGTTGTGTGGTTTCTCCTCAGGAGTATTTTCAAACCAATACGAATTAGGGTCCTTCAAGAAGCGAGCCTACAGACTCAAAGGCAACGCATCTGTAGTTCCTCTGATGTTGATGTCCATGTCGTTGATAACCTCTGTGTTCTCGCCGCTCGTTTGTCACCTTCATCATCTCCCCTGCCTTATCCTACTGTAGTGGCACCGGGTTTTCGTCCTCCAAAGCACTCTCATCCGTCATCTCAGTCATCACTCCCATCATTATGCCACCTTCCACACAATCCATCTCTTTCTATGTCTACCTCTACCGGTGTACCACAATCATAACTAACGTCCGTGTAACATGCGATTCATCCCTTTCTCTACCACTACTCAAACTTCCTCTAATATACTCATTTCGTATCTGATCCAATCGTTTGCCACCTTCTTATATAAAAAAGTCACAACACGAGCTCTAAACTTGATATAGTACCTTTCAGAGAAAGTACTGGTGAAAAAATTTATGTTCAGTCTATATATCATTTAAATGTATTTCCTGTTATCCTAAATTGAACGGATCTCGATGATTCATACATGTAAAAGTCGCGGGCTAAAGCCAATAAATATATCCCATATCAGTCACTGATAATATATCTTTCTAATGGTGAAAGAATTTTTGAAATAACTCCAGTAGTTTTTGAGTTTATGCGTTACATACAAATAAAAATATTTTCTATTTATGTTAAAAATCGTTAAAACCGTTTTTGCGTCAATCAAATACATACAAAAATACAAATCTTTGCTCTTTATAATATTAGTATAGCTTATTTTTTTTTTTACAGGAAACCGACGTCTTTTTTAACGCATATGCGTAAAAATCATTCGGAACACGTATGTGTTAGATGTGGAGATAGTTTTGTAGGAAAACATGGACTTTTGATGCATTTAAGTAAAACACATAAACGGGATGAGGTAAGTTATATACTAGCTTTCATCATCCACTTGCCCTTATCCCTTACGGAGGGTCGGCACAGTATGTGTTCTTCCATACACCTCTATCAGCCATATCTGAATCCACTCCTTTCTTAAGCATATCCTCTTTCACACAATCCATACTTTCTTCGGTCTTCCTCTTCCTTTGTAGCCATCATTCAATCTCAACACTTATATACTAGCTTTATCATGCGAATTTGTCCGGAGAAAAAAAAAACTTTGATATAGTATCCTTTGTGTCCTTCCAGACTATGTTGCTATCTGTGACTGTTTGAAATAGGATAATTTTTGGTTACATCTATACATAAAATAAAATTGTAGTGTGTGTATATCAAAAGAAACATTCCAGATTTCGGAAAGAAGCTGATGACGACAATCGCATTTAAAAAATTTTTTGTCTGTCTGTCCGCAAGCTTCGCCTGTCTTAATATTGCGTTTGAAGTTGCGGCAACAGCTAATATTGTAATATATGTACATACAAATTCACATTTTGTACTAACTTTTGCTCCTGACTTCGTCTGCGTGTAAAAAAATATGTATTCTTCCAGACTATCCTCTACATCTACAATGATATCATAAAGAGGAAAGATTTTTTTTCTGTATTTATAGAAATAACTTAAAAACTACTGGACCTATTTAAAAAATCCATCATTAAAAAGCTATTTTAACGGTAACATCAGCTTTTTTTTAATTTGATGCAAGCGAAGTCGTGAGTCCTAGCTAGTTATATAGTACAGAAATACTATTTTAAAGATTTTTCATATAAATAAACACATTTCGTATGATAATAAATTAATTTTATTTGGGGTTGTGGCTCGATCAAAATAAAATAAACTTATAATTTCTTGCTACATTTAATATTTACACGTTTTTTCCAAAAACATATCTTTATACATCGTCGTTCCTCTTTTCTCTCTTTACTTATTTTTTACCAACGTCAAAATATAAAATTCAAAATCAATTAAAAAGAAAACATATCAAAAAGAAACATATTTAACCTCCTTATAACTTCTTTTTTGACCGACTTCCCAAAATAAGGAGGTACTCAATTCGTCTGTATGTTTTTTTTTTATTTTTTTATGTTACGGCATAACTCCGCCGCTAGTGGACCGATTTTGACAATTCTTTTTCTATCCGAAAGGTAATGCTTGCAGGTGGGTCCCACTTTTGTTTGATTTTTGGAGTCAAAGACTACGACGTAGTTAAATAGTTTAGCTCAAAATCGCGCGACGAAATTTCGGGTCATTTTTTTTTTCACCTTCTATAGACTCTTGGTCCGTACTCTTTTTTGCACAGTTTGTTTTATTTTTGTTGCATAATCCGTATGTCATTAGTGAGTTCCTTTTATATATATATATATACAATTATATTACTGCTTTTATAACTTCTTACAACCTCCTTAAAGCTATAAGAAAAAATTTGCATTTTTCAGGAAAAAGATAACTCAGAAGTAACAGCTATGAAGAGATTCTGTTCCGAATGTAATATACAATTTCTCAATTTAAACGCATGGAAGAAACATATATTAACATCTTTCAAACATATGAGGAATGGAAACAGGTAATTTCTATACTAATACTAGCTGTTCCCGTGCGGCTTCATCCGCATATAATAAAAAAATCATTTTACTGTTCAAATTTGTCTAATCATTAGCAAATGTCAAAATGACATGACATTACAACCTTAGCAATCTTGCTTCCTTGATGTTGGCAGCAACTTGTCTCTTTCCTACTATAAGGTTTTTATTCAAAATATTTACCCCCTAAATTTAATTGTGTTAAAATATATAGCTTAAAGTATGACGTAAGTGTAGGGCTTTTTATAAAAAAAAGAATTATTCAAAAATATGCTGTAATTGCTGACATCTTAGGCAACAAAGAAGTGTGTGTTTACGCTTTGTTATAATAGTATTAGATAAAAAAATGATAGTATTTTTGACCTATTTTCCAAAAGAAGGAGGTACTCAATTCATCTGTATGTTTTTTCATGTTACGGCATAACTCCGCCGCTAGTTTACCGTTTTGGATAATTCTTTTTTTATCCGAGAGGTAATGCTTGCAGGTGGATCCCATTTTTGTTTGATTTTTGGAATCAAAGACTACGACGTAGTTAAATAGTTTAGTTCAAAATCGCGTGACGAAATTTGGGGTCGTTTTTGCTTTCCTATTGTTTGTAATAGGTAAACTCAAAAACTACTGGAGTTATTTTAAAAATTCTTTTACTGATACAAAGATATGATATCTCAGACTGACATAGGATATATATTTTTATGGTTTTTTTAATAATTGCAGATAAAGTTAAATATTAAAAAAAAAACTACAATATCTTTACATAGATTCAATAGTAGAACATTTTCACATGATAATAATTTATATCAGATATGGTTAAGTATCTTTGAAAGAATTATACTAACTTTCGCCCACGATTCCGTCTGCGTGGAATTTAAAAAAAAAACAAAAAGTGGTATTAGTAAAAAGTATGTACCCTATGTGTTCCAGACTATCTACATCATTGAGGTTAGAATACAAACAAAAAACATCTATACTTTCACATTTATAATATTAAATGAGACTAGCAGTCGCCCGCGACAGGTCTGTCTAAAATTAAAAAATCGTGACGTCATATTGTAAGCACTTTACGTTTGTTTTGTTCGATTTTCAGTATGTGTGATATTTGCGGGGTGTCGGTGACGTCAGAGAGCCGCGGCTCGCACATGCGCAGTCATATGAGGGAGCTTCGCCCTCCGGCCGCAGCGCCCGCGGAAGCCTCCACCCCTACGCTACGTTGTTCACAGGTATTTTAGTTTTATTACTAAATATATTTACTGATATATATTTATAACAAAGTCCGCCTGCCGTCTTTTTAAAAGCAATTTTTAACAAAAAAATATTAGTTGTCTGTATGCCTGTCACTTTTAAATAGCAATTGTTAACAAAATCATGTTGGGTTTCTACGCCTGGCATATTTTAATAGCAATTGTTAACAAAAATTGTTGACAGTGTACGCCTGTCACTTTTAAATAGCATTTGTTTACATATTTGTGTTATTGCTCCTACCATTTTATAATAGCAATGTTTACATAAAATATAAATATTATTACTCGTGCTATTTTTTATTAGCAATTACTTCGTTTAGAAAGTTGCTGGTTTGTAAATAATATATCTCTTTATTAGTGTGAGAGTCAATTTACATCGCGTTCAAGACTACAAGCGCACGTGAGACGAGTTCACCTCGGACTGAAGTATGACAAGAACGTGGTCTGCGAAATGTGCGGGAAGAAATGCACCGTGAGTACACATAACACTGCTAGAGTATTAAAAAAACATAATATGCCCCTATATACCTGTGTTCCCTAACTGATAACGAAAATCGCATTTAAAATATTTTGTATGTCTGTCTGTCCGCAAGACGCGTTTGTTCAATCTTTCACTGAAGGGTAGCTGACATAGACGGCCATATTATAAGCTACATTTTTTAATACCGCGCTGTAAAATGGCGTAACTGGTGGTCCAAACGAAGTTTGCGGGCGACAGCTCGTTATGTGTAGATCACTATATCCTATTGCTAGCAATAATCGTGTAAATGACTTTATTATTACTAGCTTTCGCCCGCGACTCCTTCCACATGGAATAAAAAAAAAAGTGAATAGCCTGTGTTCTTCCAGAGTATCAATACCAAATTTTGTCGATATCCTTTAACAAACTCTAACAAACATCCATCCATCCATCTAAAATTTCACATTTATAATATTAGTATGATGTTTGTTAGAGTTTGTAGCCTAATTGACTGGGATTGCGATTAAATTTGGTATAGACGCAGAGCGTATTCTGCAAGATTTTTTTTTTGGTTTTGTTTTATGACGTGAACGAAATCTAGTATATGTATAAATTAGTCGGCGGCCAGTCTGCGCTACCACCAGCGCGCGCACACCGGCGAGCGGCCGTACGCGTGTGCGCTCTGCCCCGCCTCATTCGCGCAGCGCGCGCCGCTGCGGGTGCACGCGCGCACGCACTCCGGCGAGCGGCCGTACGCCTGCCACACGTGCGGCAAGCGCTTCACGCAGAAACCCGCCCTCAATAGACATTACAGAGTACGTATGTCAATTTCATTGTATTGTTTTTATTTTTTACCAAATAAATGTTTTGCAGGCAATATGCATATGACGCAAACTTTTTTTAAATATTCTTTATTACTATAAAACATTCCTGCAAAGAATCTTTTAAATATAGTGTGATTTAGTGGCAAAATTTAATCATTAAAAAGTGTCTTTTTTCAAATTCCCTCGCTAAGTTCTAAAACGCACACTATTGGTCGAAGCAAGTGGCTTATCTAATATGGCGTCGCTGTGTTCACAATACACAGTTCATTTACTTTAGTTTATATAAAAATTCACTCTTGAAGTATATTACTGTAAAAACGATATTATAACCAACTTTAAAATAAAGATTAATGAATAGAATAATTAAGTACCACTTATTTGTACCAGGAATAATAAAAAGGAATCGATTTTTGACTTTTTGACCTTGAGATACTTTGTTGTTTTTTTACATCGAAGTGATATCTCAGCGTATGTTATGAATGGAATATGACGATTGACGTCAGTTGTCTCATGCCAACTCCGGTGTCGTTTTAGTCGCACGAAAATGGTCATAATTTTATTTTAGCTCAATGGTTGAATTTTTAGACAATTTTTTTCTGGTTATCTTATAATAAGTATAATAGTTTATAATAAGAAGAAAAAACATGCATATTGCCTATTACCGTTACCATTGCATCTTTGATATCAGTTTGTATTTCTTGTCCCTTTCGCACGCGAACAGATAGTGATGTGAATTTTTTTATTAATATTGTGTTTTATTGTCAGGTACATTCAGGTGCGAGGCCGTACTCTTGTACACAATGTACTAAATGTTTCAGTCAATCTAATTCATTGAAGTTGCATATACGAACAGTACATTTGAAGCTGCCGCTCAGGAAGAAAGAAAACCAGCAATAAAATATAAGAAATACATGTTTTTTTATTAAAAAAAATATTGATACAACCTTTGTTTCCCGACACTCATAGAATTAAAAAAACAAAAGTATCTTATGTGTTCTACCAGAATATCCTACATCTGTCTTTTAGCGTAATCAGTTTAGGCTACAGACTAAAAAACAATCAAAGTTTCGCATTTATCTATACTATTATAATAAAGCGTAAACACACACTTCTTTGTTGCCTAAGATGTCAGCAATTACAGCATATTTTTGAATAATTCTTTTTTTAATAAAAAGCTCTACACTTACGTCACGCTTTAGGCTATATATTTTCACGCCATTAAACTTAGGGAGTGAACATTTTGGATAAAAACCCTAATGTGGGAAAGAGATAAGTTGCTGCCAACATCAAGGAAGCATGATTGCCAAGGTTTGTCGTCACGTCATGTCATTTTGACATTTGAAATGTAAATTCATATTTTCATAATTTTATGCGGATGAAGTCGCACGGGAACAGCTAATAATATTAATAAAATTTAGTGGACGCGACCTCTACATAAATAAAGGACAGCGATATTCAAAAACAAATCTTTGATTGTTTTGTGATCAAATTACAAACTGTGGACAAATACTTGTATATGATAAATCGTGACAAGATTATATAGGAGAATATTCGTAAACACCTCAATAGACATGAGTAACAATATTGATGATCTGCAGATCAACTCGCGTGAAGCAGATTCAACATTGGTAGAGCCCGCTTTAACATCGCACTGCAGGGCCGGCTCGCCCGGTGCAATACCACGATCACACAGAAGACAGACAGGAGTGTGGGGCCCTCCCATTCCTACCCTTTTCCTTCTCACTCTTTTACTTATAAGAATACTTGTGGAAAGGGAACGTGGATTTGACGGTGAAGGAGACGCAGAGGAAGAAGAAATATCCTCTCTATGTGCGTCTGCTCCTCCGTCGATTAAGTGTAGGCAATGCATCCGCTATTGCGAATGTTTATGGGCAGCGGTCTCTTCGCCATTTTGGCGGATTCACGTAGCCACTTGCTCGTTTGCCACCATATAAAGTGGGAGCAATTCCGCGTGCAGTCTGATGAGTGTGCTGCTGGAGTCCTAAATTTAGTCCCTTTTTCTCATATGAATGAATGGAAAAGAACGTGGAGGACACGCATACGAAGGGGCAATAACCTCTTTATGTACGCCTCCTCTGTCCCTTAAGGGTACGTAACGCATCCGCTTTTGCGAATGTGTGGTCAGCGATCGCTTCTAAATTTTGGCGGAGCCAGGTGACCGCTTGCTCGTTTGCCATCTTATGATATATAAAAAAAAGATCAGTAACAGATAGGAACCGGTACTGAACACGCGTCTACCCTTCAGTAATGCAGACGACCGGTTAGCAAGCACACGTGTTTATATTTTTGTATATATCCTGTTTAAGCACAAAGGTCAGTTTATATTACATACTTAAAACTATTTTATTCTGGTACTAAAAAAAATGAAAAAATAATGCTTACTTTATTTAAAACTATACAATTAATAAATAAGTTGGCTTTCGTAGAAACATTAATAGTGGATTTAAAAACACGCTATTTGTGTCCCTCCAAACTATCGTCTAATCTATGCCAAATGTCATCGAGATCCGTTCAACAGTTTAGGCGGCAAAATATAACGAACCATCCGTCATCTTTTAACTTTCGCATTTATAATATTAGTTTAAACTAGCTGTTGCCCGCGACGTTGACCACACAATATTAAGATAAATAAACTAGCGTATAGTATATCGGTCTATGTTAACCCGGAGAGTCGGGAATTTACCCGGAACAAAATATAAACGCAAATTTTCGTTATCAGCAACACAAATACATAATTTTTCCGAAATCTGTAATTTTTCTCTTGATATTACAAATAGACACTCCAATTTTATTAAACGTATAGATGAAACACTAGCAATTATTAATACTAATCAGGTACAGAAAATACATAAACAATGCACCTTAAACATATTTAAATAAGGTTATAATTTGCAAACAATTAAAATGCGTAGTTTCAAACCAGTTTTATTTTTTTGCAATAAATGCCCTTGGTATTAGAATACGGTCGTATACCGTACAATAAATTGAAACACGTTAACTCGTGTACATATTTATCTTTATAACTAGCTATTCCCGTGTGACTTCATCTGCATAAAATTATGAAAATTTTATTGTTTACATGTGTCAAATTATCAATAGCAAATGTCAGTATGACATATTATGACAAACTTTGACAATCTTGCTTCCTTGATGTTGGCAGCAACTTATTTTCCCATTATTATATTATCTTTCCCACATTAGGGTTTTTATCCAAAATATTTAGCCCTATGACTTATGTTTAATGGCGTTAACATATATAGCCTAAAACGTGACGTAAGTGTAGGGCTTTGTATTAAAGAAAGAATTATTCAAAAATATGCCGTAATTGCTGACATCTTAGGCAACAAAGAAGTGTGTTTATGCTTTTTTATAATAGTATAGAGTATTTTAGTCCCTTACCCATCTCTTTTATAGACGTTTAGTAAGGGGAAATATCTTTATGAGCGTGTTTTGCATTTTGGAACATTAGATTTTTTTTTGATTTCTGTTGTGTGAATACTTAAATAATTTTATAACGATTGTTTCGAAATAAATAATTTTGTTCGAGATGAATTAATTGTTTATTTCTATTCGAATAAATCGATTTTAATATGTTTTTTTTTATTTCAGATAATTCAAAATATCAATAAATATAGATTGTAGAGATGTATACAATATTAATATATTTATTGCTGTTTGACGGAGCGTTTATGGAAGCGATAGGTAAATTAATTTCGCTGTTTTCTAACCTTTGTAGTCGTAGATTGGCTATTTCCACTAAGAATAACCTCGCGACTCGCGCAGTCAAATAGCAGCCGCTCTAGTGGAAATGGACTAATTTCTTGTGGTAATTGTACTAAAACGAATCTTCGAAACAGCAAATTTCTGCGTAAAAGATGTGGGTATTTAATGGAAATGTAACAGAAAATATGGAAAAGCCATACTTTGTTGTCTTTAGAGTTTTGCTTAGCTAGAAATATCTTGTAATCTGTTTATTCTTTTGTTTATTTATTTATTTATTTTAACAGAGGGAGATTCCTGTGTCGTGGAACATATAAACATAGTAGGAAAGTGTTCTCCGCCAGATAAATGCAATGCAGCTAAAAATGACTATCTGTACGTATGAGGAACTATTTTGCTATTGTTATTTCATATACCATTTCTTAAAGTTTTTTAATCTTACTAATATTATAATTGCGAAAGTTTAGATGGATGGATGGATGGATGGATGTTTGTTAGCGTTTGTAGCCTAAACGGCTGAACGGATCTCTATGAAATTTAGCACAGGTTTAGAGCATATTCTGGAAGAACACATAGGCTACTTTTATCCCGGAAATAGTTACGGTTCCCGTGGGATTCATTAATTTAGTTTTTTAATGTTTACTCGATCATTCTGCAACGGTTCAACATATCTTATTGAAATTTGGCACAGATGTTAAACAAAGACTGGAGTACACATGGGATAAGCTTCATCCCCGAGAAATGTCCGGTTCCCGAGGGATACGTAACTTTTTGTAATTTATATAGTATGTATGTTTTCTAATACCACGCGGACGAAGTCGTGGGCAACAGCTCGTTCTCTATATATGTCCGTTGCGTTCTTTCCACCCTTTTTTGTCTTAGCGGCTAATTTGTATAGCGGTTTTTATTTTCACTGGCGCTGTCGGGTAACTATGATACGCGGTTAAGAGCTCAGTGGAAATGAGATTAAATCCCAAGTTATAAAACTTAGATTGCGTTAAGGAATTTTAACGTCTAATCTATACTGAGTGTTGAATTGAAATGAGAACAGTTATACTTAGTAAAGCTACTTTTTTAACGATTATCGTTTGTCTTTGGTTTTCAGACTAAACGGTATCAAGCCCACATTCTGTCAATATTCATTTAGCAATGTCCTGGTTTGCTGTAGAGATGGAAGTAGTATTTTACAAGCTGCAACTCAGACACTTAGGTAAGTAAAGGCAGTTTTTTTTTTATAATACGAGGTGGCAAACGAGCAAGTGGCCACCTGAATCCACCGAAATGGAAAGTGACCGCTGCCCATAAACATCCGCTATTGTAGATGTAGCCTACCCTAATTGACGGAGGAGGAGACGCACATAAAGAGGACATTTCCCCTTCCTATGCATCTCCTTCACCGTCCAATCCACTGTTTCCTCCCATCCTTTCCTCTTAAGAAAAGGGTGGAAAGGAAAAGGGACTAAAATTAGGCCTCCGGCACCACACTCAACAGACGAAACGCGGAGTTGCTTCCACTTCACGCCTGTTTTCTGTGTGGTCGTGGTATTACTGGGGCGTGCCGGCCCTGCAGTGCTAAGATGTTAAAGCGGGCTCTACCACTGTTATAAGGAGTTTGTCGGATAGGAGCTTAAACTCTCGAGAACGGATTGGAAATCTTTAGTGCCTGTCCCACTGGCTGATAGATGCTCAGATTGCTTAAAAGTGACGTCACTGTCAGATAAAATCCGATCACATCACAAATTTTACACGTTGGACATCAGACAATTTATAATTTGGTGAGACAGGCCCTAATAATTGAAAGATATGTGAAAGTGACTCTTGTTAATTCTTCCACTGTTTTATAGTTTGTCTAAATAATTTAGATTAGTTTGACAATTCATTTCAAATTCAGTAGGGATGGGTTGTGTAATCTGTCATGAATCTTATCGATTTTCGATTTTTATTCTTATAGAAGTTGGAATCGACAGATTTATAGTTATAACTTATAAAAAAAAACACTTTTCTCACATTAATAATGACCATAACAAATAATGAGAGTAAATAAATGTTTATTACTACTACAGCTGTATGTAATCGAATTGGATTTCGCTATTATTTATGTCATCGCTAAATTCTCTACACTATAATCAATACTAGTGAATAAGAAAATAATAATTTTAGTCAAGTTCGATAATTATTTAAACCGAATATCGATAGTTCAAAATTGTTCGCTGCGTGTTTCGTCACTACGATACCTGTCTATTAAGTACGTCAGCCTTCATACAAATTGAATTCGATACTTCATGCGTCATTTATCAAAATAATCTATCTTATTTAGACAAACTATAGGAATCTTTACTGTACCACCTTAGACTAAACTATCGCACGACTTTTTAATCTCGCTTTGATTCCTATGAGCTTGGAGCACATTACTCGATTTTTAGTTGTGCAACTAAACAGTTGAATTGGCGACAAAATAATCGCACAACCGTTGTGCGATAGTTTAGTCAAAGGTGTTCGCTCTTAATGTTTTTAACATTATTGTATTTTTTTCTAGACAAGATAAAGATAACACTGACAATAGAAGAATCAGTGAACGAAGTGAGTTTTACGCTTACATTTTTTTTTATAATTTGAAAAGAAGTTTATAGCATCTGTTGCAGATTCTGATCTTAACAAATAAAAAAACATTTTTAAACTAAAAAGTTACTGCTAGTAAGAATCGAAATCGGGTTTTTCACTATTTTTTAATTCCCACGTCCCTTATAAGTGTCTTATGTCAATATAACATCCCCTATGACACTCTGCAGAAGAAGACGAGTCCAATGACACCTCATACATCTAAATCTGTCCAGTAGTTTACTCTATAAGCTGTTACAATGGAATTTACAGACAAATTTACGCGCGAATAACATTACCCTCTGTTAAATAATAAAAACAAACTTTTTAATAAAAAAAAAACAAAACCGACTTCCAAACAAAATACACTAAAAACAAAATATTCTCAAAAAAAAAACCAGTACACTAAAAAGTAACGAAATAATTCCTTGAAAATAGTAAACCTACCTTATTGTAACTGTTATGTTTATATTGTACAATTATTTTTACTTTGAAGTCGGTGTCAGTCAATGTAGATTCATTACTTAATTGTTACTATACTTTCAATTGTCAATTGTTATGGTAAAAATGTGGAAACCCTTGCGTAGAAATATCACTGCATACCTTGGCTGACACCGACATCAAAGTAAAAATAATTGTACAATATAGACATAACAGTTACAATAAGGTAGGTTTACTATTTTCAAGGAATTATTTCGTTACTTTTTAGTGTACTGTTTTTTTAAGAATATTTTGTTTTTTGGGAAGTCGGTCAAAAATGCAAATTAAGGCGCGGTTATAGCAAATTGCGCATCTTTGGAAGCATAGAACAGGATTTCTACAAAGATTTGATTGGTGATATTTTAATATGTGTAACTTCAGTCCTTTAACTAAAGGCTCGTGGAACAGAATCAAGATTGGGACAAACTTTTCTCGATAGATTTATTTTTTGAAAATGTGCCTAATTCTGTAAAGATCACCATATATCTGCAAAACTACAACGAAAGTAAAAGCTCGAAGTGGTTTATTTGAACACGAGTACTTTATCTTTTACACAGGCTACTTTGTTTTTTTAATAACACGCGGACGGAGTCGCGAGCGATTACTAGTAGGCTGTTTTTTAATTTCACGGATGCGAAGTCGTCTATACTAATATTATAAAGAGGAAAGGTTTGTATTTTTTGACCGACTTCCCAAAAGAAGGAGGTATTCAATTCGACCGTATGTTTTTTTTTTTTTTTATGTGTGTTACGGCATAA